ACTACCAGAACCACCGCCACTTTTATCGCATTCTTCCCTCTTCCGCTTCTTGTTGGTAAAATCACCCCTTTCCTTCCTCTCATTCATCATCATCGTTCTTTTCCCCTGGCCTCTATTCGCACGAAGCAATTCAAGCTTAGAGTATCCAAAAGGATTCAAATGAGACAGTCCCTATTTTTACCAATCTACCATGCCTTAATAATACCAAAACAAGGACGGATTTGAACGCATTGCCAAATGCCAATTCTTCAAAACCACGTTGTACTAAAACAAAATTGTAATCATTGAAATCCATCAGAACTTCTAAAGCTACTACAAACCACAAAGTGAAAAAAAGATGAATCAATTATAAGAAGCAACATGAAATATACAAAAAAGAATCAAAATTTGGGGACCTTTGATGATCCCTCTTTTCACCCATGTATGATGTATCCTTCCTTAATAGACTATCAAAGAACATATTGCCAATACTTCAAACCACGTTCTATTAATATTGAACTCCCATCATCAAAAACCCAGTTGAAATTCCAAGTCAAAAGCAAAACACAAGTAAAAACATCATCTAATTATGAGGAGCAACAAGAAATATCCAGAAAAGGACTAAACTTGGGCACAATATATTCCTTTTGGTTTTTACTAGCTCGCTCTAGCTCGCAGTGCTAGCTAGTTGTCCTTCATTCTAGCTCGCTCTAGAACTCGACTATTTTCTTGGTTTTTACTTCTCTAGCTCTCTTCTCCACAGAGCCGTGAATAGTTCTTCTCTTTTCTTGTAATTGTTAGTGGGTTCAGCATTCATCAGTCGATTGATAGGTCTATTCATCATTATATAGACCGCTATACCACCATTTTACCATTGCGATAGCCACTATATCAGATGACGATCCTGAAAGCTGTTTCAGGTTTTGACCTCTGTAACAGCATAGGAAAAAATAATGAAGTGAAACCCTATAAGTATATTGGTCCTAAATCTTCAACAAACCCATGCCAATGTTCTTATTGCATTGAAAATTACGGGTTTGACCTTTTCCATAACAGCAGTACTTAAATTCTCTGAAGTGTTCGACGTTACCAATCACATATACAAATGCACAAATTCAATCCAAAAACCCAAAGCAACAAGAGTGTATTCAGCATCTCATTTAGTTAGGCAATAGCACTTTGAAGGAATGACATACATCCTTGACTTTGGATGCCAAACCAGATTGACAAAATATCTGGTATAACAAGCACAAGGATTGAATATTAGGAATTTGTTGTGGTAGCCAATCAAAATCACAAAGCAATGGAAGATTCGAAATCATAAAGAACCCACAGTAGCTGATTTCGAAAACTGATTTTAAATTATCATCATACAAAAACAGAGTTCTGCTTTATACCTTGGATCCTGCTTGAATCTAAAACAATGTTTCCAACGTATACTACTTTCCCATCGGGTTCCATGCCATTTGGTAAAGATAACAATTCCACGATCATGCATCAAAATCAAAATTACCTTCCCCGAGTCCAAGTTCTTGCAAGACTTGGCATCGATGATAGTCCACCATGTGATCTACACCA